AGTGGGGCCAGAGCGCATTGGCTGTTGGCACCACCCCCAGGTACTATAGAATAGTCAAGTAACTGATAAGAATTCATGAGGTTAGTCGACTATTCAATTAACCGATATTTAACATCCCTAGTGCTCACCCAACCTGGTGATGGGTTCCACATAGATTGCCACTCAGTTCACAGAATGAGAAGTCCTAATGAGACACCTACCTTGGCACATGGCAGCACATTATGTAACAGTTTAGCTATATGGGTCCACTATAGCACCTGGACAGACATTTCATACCTTCCTCCCACTTAAAATAGTTCTCTTTTCAAAAGCTGAAATGTTGAGTCAGGAGATGCAGGTACACTGAGATTACAAAACTTGCTATACAATAGGCTTCACAACAGAGAGCAGCAATCTCTGCCTCTTGACAGAGAGAGAACTCATTCAATATGTCCTTGAAGATCACCGTTGTAGGTTAATGCCAGAGCATTGTGTTTAATATCTACCAGTCCCCACGGTCTGTGATTATTTGCCAAGGCAGAAGTCTGGTTTGAATAATGTTGCCAACTGTGAGGATTTTATTACAGGTCTTACAATATTTGATCTTTTTCTTAAAATCTCACTGAGCTCCCAAAATCATGTGATTATACGAGAACCTCAGCTTTTGTTGGTATTTTTCAATAAATTCCTAGTAGAGATGTTAGATAGCATGTAACTGAATAGTTATGTAACCACATCAAGTTTTAGTGGTTATATGACTATTTGATAGTCCACGGGGCGGCAGCTAGTGCGCTCCTGGCTCCGCTCCCGGGGAGCCCCCTGCAACCTTGCAATGCTGCCTCTCTATCAGAGGCACCAGCGTGGGGTGACAGGTGAGAACCGGTCCACGAGGAGAGCCAATTTAAAAACTAGCTCCCCGCGCAGACCAGCTCCCACTTGCCACCCCACACTGCTGCCTCTGACACAGAGGCAGCAGCAAGGGGTGGTAGAAGCCCTTGTGCGCAGGGGTGGGGGACCAACTCCCTGTGGACAGAGACTGCTCAAGCACAGAACAGCCCCTGTCCGTGGGGAGCTTCGATCCTCACGGACAGAGGCTGTTCCATGGGATTCCGGAGCAGCTTCTTTCTGTGGTAAGCCCGGCCCTGCTGCTTATGCCCAGGTTTATAGGTTAATCGTGTAATCGTCTACACCATGACATGCCCAATTCTTTGCCATACCCGCTGCAGAGACAAGCCTGAAATCATGAAGACTCAAAAACATACAAATACAGCTCAAAAACAGCGCCAAAATGAAAAGAACCCACATCTTATTTTTAAATTCCAAGATTACTAAATTAGGCCTGGGAGTTCTGAATACTTAGGACTGAATGCTTTTTCTTTCTTTTTCTTTCCTTTAGCTTTCAAGTAACATTTAATTATAAGTATGTCAAACAGTGTTCTTGTCATGCGAGGTCAAATGTTTCGAACTTGTAAGTAGCAAAAATGTGATTTAGTTTGAGAAGGCTGCAGAGGTGTGCACAAAAATGAGACATTAAAAGATCGAATGTATACTGACAAAGTCAGAATCTATTACTTTGTTTAGTGCACAGTTTACTGAAAGAAGGCGAAGAAGTACGTAGACGTTAAAAGAAAATCATAGTGTTCTATGGTAATAAAACCCATGAATAATACTTATATTTACAGAGAAAACCTAAAGAAAGACATTTGAAATACAGCCAATTATTCCCCAAACCCAAATCATTTAAGCTTTTTAACTGTGTTTAACTGTGACAAAAAAGAGCTTATCATGCTTTGCAGCTGCAAACTAAAGATACTAGCCCACAATGCCTAATTTGTGAATCTTATACCAACAAACAAAATAAAATATATCAACACTATTGCCAGACCAGAAAAATCAGATCAGTGAAACAGAAACTTAATTTCCCTATGCTAGGATTTATTTCCTGTCTAGTATTTGTGATACTTGTGCATTTATTTCCTTGGTCTGGAAATCAATGTGAAAAACCTCATGAAATTGTCCAGATTGTCTGATTTTTTTTTATTGAACTAGAAACTCAATATCAGCATCTCTTGTTATATTTTGTTACTTCTGTTTTCAAGGGAAACCAGGAAGTGTGGAAGCATTCAGAAGATATTAAACTGAAACTTTCATGCCCCCAAATCAGTTTCCACATTGTTTCGTGTGCAGGCAGAAATTCATTGTCACTTCTAAATAAAAATCAGAACCACTTACTTGACCTATCCCCAATTCTAAGCAATATATTTAGTTGGTGGAGTCTATTAGATAACTATTCATTATGGCTGAAAGTTTTCATTCAAAAAATGTTTCTTTCTGGGGGAAGTGTATGGGATATTAACCAGACATGGAGCTTTTCAACTCTGATTCCCTGGTCTGAATGTAAGCAGCGTGGGAGTTACCGCCCACAGTTCTTTATCAGCTTATGTGAAATCAGTGTGTGGTTTCCAGTTTCTAGTGGACAAATGCTCAGCAGAACAGTTAGGCAATGAATGAGCACAGAGTGAATGAAAAGAGTGCTATCGACACACTATAGAACAGAGACTTATGGGTAGAGCCATGTCTTGCACTGCTAATGCCCATGTTCTACCGGGTCTGTCAATACAAAGAGAACTTCAACCCCTAGAACTATCCACCCATCATTTACAATCATCATCATCATCAACAACAACCATGGGCTCAACGCTCATTGGTGTCCAATGCCTCCCTCACTATTTCCTTCTATCTTTCCCTGTCCAGTGCGGAGCGGCTTAGTTTCTGAAGACTAGCTCCGCACCAATCTATATATCATCTACCCATTCTCTGTGGGATCTGCCTCTCCTATTCGGACCATCCATTATGCTGAATACCAGGGTCTTAACTTTTCACTCGTCGTTCATTCTGCAGATGTGCCCAAATAACTGTAACTTCCATTGTATAGCCTTCTGCAGTAGGTTCTCTTTCGGCTGTATCTTCCTGTATAGTTCCTCGTTGGTGACCTTCTGCATCCATCCTATTCTCAGGATCTTTCTATAACAACTCCTCTCGAATGCCAACATCCTTCTCTTCGAATCTTTCATTATCACCTATGTCTCTCATTTGTACAACTTGCTGCTAAATAAACACATTCGAGACACTCAGCTTTGTTCCTACGCTAATCGGTTTACTTTTCCAGATCTTATCACTTACAATGCCAAAAAAAAACTTCCTTAATATATTTTCAAGAAAAACAAATATTGCTATCCAACTCTTTGCAGTGCTTAATAATTCCATACTTTGTTCTGCAATGGTGTAACAGTAAGGGTAAATCTACACAGCAGCATTATTTCGGAATAACTGATGTTATTTTGAAATAAAGTGTATGTCTACACTCAAGCCATTATTTCAAAATAATTTCAAGATAGAGGACTTCTTAATCTGATTTCTGTAACTCTCATTTCACGAGGAGTAAGGGAAGTCGAAGGAAGAGTGTTCTTCCTTGGACTTCCTACTGTGTAGATAGTGCCAAAACGCCAAATTAAGCTATTTCAACTTCAGCTGTGCAATTGATGAAGCTGAAGTTGCGTATCTTAATTTGACTTTTGCCCTGCAGCATAGAGGTGCCCTAAAAGAATACATCTAGGTCTCTAGGGGCATGTCTACACTATAGTGTTATTTCAAAATAACTCACGTTATTTCAAAACAACAAGGCGAGCGTGCACACAGCAAGCCCGTTATTTCAAAATTATTTTGAAATAACAGACTTCTTATTCCAGAATGATAAACCCTCATTTCACAAGGAACAATACCTATTTAAAAATTGCTATTTCCAAATAGCAGTAGTGTGGACGCTCCCCAGGGCCATTCAAAGTAATCACTCCCACGTACTTCCTGGAGCTCTCAAAAGAGATGGTGCATCTATATTAGGGGAGTGCCTCGGACTAATTTTGAGGCCTCCCTGTAGCATGGAGGTGTTGTTTTGAAATAGTTATTTTGAGATTTATTATTCTGAGATAACTTATTTCAAAATACCTTTGGAGTACAGACATCCCCTATGTCAGTTTCTGTTGTCAAATGTATTTTCTTTTTACAAATTGGCTATTTGACTATTGTTTCTAACTTTGGAGACTGAAATAAAACCACCAAGAGGTAAAAAAACACAGCAATGCATTAAGCATCAGAAGGTAAACCAATGCCTTTAGTGAGGCTCACTGCTAAAAATCTGCTATTAAAGTAAATTTGATTATGCTCATATTTAGGGTGGTTTGCTAGAAATGCTGCTGGTTGTATTTGCTTGTTTGTTTGTTTGCTTGTGTCCTTTGGAGTTAAGTTAGATTAAATATTTTAGCACAACAGCCCTAGTGAATGAAGTCCTCAATTTATCTACAGCAGAAATGTGGCACATGCAGTAACAAGTGCATATCTGTAGATGTGGCATATCAGTGAGACAAAAGGCCTAATTTACACATAAATTGAGGTGAAAAGGGTTCAGTCTTCAAGCTAATTCAAACATTTACCTCTCAGATGAAACTGTTAATAAGGGTGGTAATTAGTGCCAATTTTTTTATGGCGATTTTTGTGTTGTGACTTTTTCCACTCAAAACAGCACAGAGGCCCCTAGCACTTCACATAAGCCATTTCTGTCACCGCAGGCCTTCAATGAATATTTTTCAGATGGTAATGGGTTTTGCTCATAACAAACTGGATCAACTCAAACCTTTGCCTGTAACCAAAAAGTGAGAGGCATCATGGCTCTAGTCCAGCTGGGGCATAATTTAATGCACATGGGTAGTCATACTGATTTCAATCAGATTGTCACATGCACAAAATTAGACATATGTCTGAGTGCTGGATTGGGACCCAGGTCTGTTCCTAGGCTCCTGAACTTTTATAATTCCTTTGATTTTTCATTTTAAACTAATCCCTTTCTGGTGGTAACTATAATATTACTACACTGAATTCCTATGTATGTTATGAAAGGGGATGATATATTATAAGTAGTGCCATTCTTATCAAGTAATATTAAAAATCACCAAAAATCAACTCACCAGCATAATCCTCTTAGCATAAAGAAGGAAAAAATATGTTGTTAAGAAAGAGTTATAAAACCTAAATAATCATAAGAACAGTTTATAAATGCCACAAAGCAAAGCATCCAGAAAAGAACTTCTCATAAAACATGCACGTTTCACTCTTTCAAAAGTGAGAAAAAACAGCTTTGCTGGTAACTGGCCATTTAAAGTGGAAAGAAACAACTCACTACATTACGCAGCTCTCTCCCTTTAAGCAAGAGAGAGGCAGATGACTCATCTCACATTGTTTTCCCAGCTTGGCAAGAAAGGCCTTCAGAATAATCCAAGGACCGTCTACCTTGCTCACTGCTTCATCAGACACTGAGGGATTGGCAGATAACCTCGGACTGACTCCATCCCCATCATCAAAGAGTAACTTTGGAATTTAACTCTCATCCCCTCTCAAGGTGAAAAAGCAGATAACCAGGCCCTCCCTCTTTAGCAAGGGGCTGCTGTGCAAAAAGACATACAAGTACATCTTGCTGGCTAATGGAAATATTGAGTCAGTCTAATATCTTTTAGCATCTTTTAACAAGTATTTCTTGAAAGACTTGAAAGTAAACAAGGTTGCAAGACTCCCTCTGTAGCATTCTTTTAATTGTACTAAATTATCATCATAAAATAATTTAATAAAAAATGATATTGTTATCTAATATATATATGATAAGCTTAGTGTTAATATAAGTATTGAGAAGTTATGTTAACTGAATGTATTGAATTCTTCCTTCAATTCTGTCCAGTGCCCACCCATGTCAAATATCCTATAAGACTTTGCATAAGCTGATGTAAGCTTTGGCTTAAGTAGGTAGGAAAACTGTTTGGATTGGGACATATGAGTATTTAACTATATTAACAGGTAGGGAGCCATTCTCACAAGCTAATACTGGAATGTCCCAAAGGAAAAAGGACAAGACATATGAATATTCTACCCTAGCATAAACCTAAGCAGTGCCTTCATGCACCTGGATACTTGGAATGTATATGATTAAAACAAGAGATAAAGGGTACATATTATCAAAAAAACAAGGTAGAAATCTCATTGGTTAAATCTAGTTTCAGATTATGTGCACAGTACCTTTTACTTGTCAACAGGTAGAATATATAAAAATACTGCTTTATAGGTATAAATTTGGGAAACACACTATGTAAAGTTAAAGAAACAATCATGCACGAAGTGACTTCCCAGAAACTGGTATCATATTGATTGTTTTTTCCTGTTTTATATTATTATTGACATATCAATAAACCTGAGTGATTTTAGTACATTTACTTCTTGAATATATTTCATAATGAACCAAATTGTGATCAAGCAACTAACTGCATAATTTATCAACAGACACATATTATATATGAACTGGATACTCACCCAGAGAAATCTGTAGTGAGAATGCCATAATGAAATATGTATATCCGGCTAATGTGACACAATGTGAGGTATCCCATGGCTACCACAAAGGAGTACCTAAACAGAACATATGAACAGGTCATACAAAACATAACTGTTACAAACTGAAGCAAAGTCAAGATTTTACATTCAGCTCGCAAACAAAAAACAAGGGTAAATGTATACATCAGAATGATAACCAAAACTGAGATGCTCAAAATTACTAGTCACTTTGGAAAATTCTGTCCTAGAATTCAAATGTTTAAAGCCAGATAATGCTTAACCAACAGCTAAGATTATCCTTTCTGTTTTGTGCACATGTACATACACACACAGGAAATATCTGAGACTCTCATATTTCAAGTCTGTAGAAAACAGGGAGAGAGAATATAATTATCCTTTAAGAATACAGAACAGCTGTACACTGTTTTCAGTAACATTTGGAAGACAATTTCTCTTGGCTTTAAATGCTCAAATATGCTACTATGGAAAGTTTTTCCACATACAAAATGTTCTTTAGGGCTAGAGAAATCCATTCTTTGGTTTGTCCTGATGAGTGTAAAATTATATTAGGCAGCATGGCTAAGCAGTAGTCTGTATTCTGACATTCTAATGGTTTAAGACAGTGATACTGAAATCTCAGTAGTTCAGGAGCCAAACAGGCGATCAGCATTACCCAGAAGAGCCACAGTATCACAAATTCATGTTTCATTATACATGGATATACTACAGTACATTTACTACAGTAAAACAATATGAGAAGGGAAATATTAAGTATTTCACATTACCATGGCTTTTTTAGATAAAATTTGGCTCCCAAACCATAGAAGTCAGCTTTAAATTATATATAAAATCACAGCAAATAAATAAATAGCTTAGTGCAAATTGATAAGTTAATTGGTTAATAACACAGCAAAAGCATCCTGATTGGTTAATAATTAAATCACACCATGTTTTAATATCTTGTACTGTAAAGAACCGCTGGCAACACATTAGAGAGCCACGTGTGCCTCATGGGCTACAGTCTGAGTATCACTGGTTTAAGGAAAATGCAGGACTATGTAGCACTTTAAAGACTAACAAGATGGTTTATTAGATGATGAGCTTTCGTGGGCCAGACCCACTTCCTCAGATCAAATAGTGGAAGAAAATAGTCACAACCATATATACCAAAGGAGTATATATGGTTTAAGGAGTTTTTGCAGCATTGCAGATTCGCAACCCTGTTATTTCCTCTCCCTCTCCTCATTATCCCTGTCCATAACAGAACAGGAAAGAGGATGCCAGTAGAGGTAGGTTGCCAATGAGAGAGCCTGGAGAAAAAGAAAAGCAGAGAAGAGACAAACAGAACCAAGACTTGGCAGACCAGAAGGGAGCAGCAGAGCACTAGAAAGCCGAAACACCAACCTGAGAAGAGAAACTGACCCTAAGAGCCAGAGGCAAGGTGGAGGCTTGGGGGCCGACTCTGTGCTTCCAGAAGGAGCAGGGCCAGCTCCATGCTCCTGCAAGGAGTGAGGCCTCAGGTAGAAGGGGTAGGGCTGGGGGCACCCCACCTTCAATGCCGCCCAGAGCGTGCTATGCCCAGTCCCTCCCGCCCCAGCCAGCCCTCAGAGCATCCCAGAGTGCACCAAGCAGAGTTCCAGTGGCAATTTAAAGGGCCTGGGGCTCAGGCCACTGCTGGTCCTGCTGTAGCAGCTGAGAGCCCCAGGCCTTGGAGCAATTGCCCTTTTGCCTCCCCGCTTCCCCCACCCCTTCGGTGGGCCTGCTAAGAGCTCATCCAAAGCAGAGACTATCAAGGGCCAAACACATCAGCAAAACCAGCCAACTGGAGACCAGAACCATAGAGGCCAAACAGAAGGGGGCAGGCGGGAAGCTAATGATTGGGAAATCAAGGCCTTCACACCCAGCACAGCAGTGGCAGAAACTGGCGAACAGAAGACCGGGCAGTCAGACTACCAATTGCAAGGCTGGGGCCACTAGAACCAAGCCAGGACAAATCAGGCTGGGAAACAAAAGATGAAATAGCAAAAGAATGACCAGCAGAGCACAAGCCTGGAGTCGGACTTCTGTCCCTTTCAGAGAGGCAGATTTAGGCCTATCAGTGACTAATTACTACACAGGTGATGGGCTTCACGTGAGGGACCAGACGACAGCCTACAGGGTCATCTAGTTCTCAGATAAAAGGTCAGCAAGTAGCTTGGTTAGGGAGAGCTATCTGCAGATAGCAGGAAGGCTTCTGTAGAAGACCCAGTATTAGGATGAAGGGCCTGAAGGGAAATTCTCCACACCAACTAGCTGTAAAATCTAGCTGGAGACACCTGCTGTATGAGCAGAGCAAGCAACCTTATGTGGAAGAGGCTGCAGGTGGAGCCCGAGAGCAGAACCTTATTTATCTGTTTTGCGTTTGACCCACTATATGCCCTTCTGTGCAAGGGCAGCCAACCTATACAGAGGCTGGAGTAATGGGGAATAGGAAGGGGAATGCAAATTAGATTCTTTAATGTGTTCATACTGTCATTATTTCAGCTACTTTGCTTTTTACCTCACTTCATGAGAAAACTCTCCTCTGAGAAAATATACTTTTTTATATCCATATTATTAATATTCTTGTCCGTTGCTAAAGGAATGGGGATGGCTTGGGGACACAGTGTATTAAAACTGTATGAACAGGCTCAGTCCTTAAGCCAATGGCTTGTTGGTTACATTTTTCAAGCCCCGATTTAATGCATAACATTTATCATTTAAGTTACTTTTCTTGTTGCTTCTGCTAATCTGAACATGCTGTGTTTGAGCCACAAAACTACTGCTAAGAATGGGGATTGGCCCTGTTCCAACCTCCCCAGCTCGGCTAAGACTTTCAGCGTGTTCCATCACAATTTCAAACCAATGAAGTTCAAAGTATGACTCACTATTGCACTCTCTTAGCCAACAACATTTTGTAAACTGGCTACGTTTGTGTTGCAACATATGCTATTTTTTCCATCCTGATTAATTGGCTGAACAGTAAGAGCGAGAGGAAAATCCTTTAACTTGAATATATGCCCATTTCTTCTCATTCTCCTATGCAGGCATGAATAACACTGGGTTTCTAGCTGTAGATTTGGTTTCCACAACTTGAATCACTCATCCAGAAGAACAGATTGTTTCCTACTTTCTCTAAGACACAGGCAACAGTGCTGATCAAGAAAGAAACAAAGCATATTTTAGTCTCTCTGGTCTTTTTTCTCACAGGCAGTTCTGCGCTAGTTATGAACTACATCAGGATTTCTGCGTTTCAGTTCTGGCTCTGCCTCTGGCTGTGCTATGCGACCACCTTAGGAAACCCATTAAGGACCAAATTGTCAAAAGTGCTTCTAGTTATGCCACTTTTCCCTACCCTCTCCATGAAAATCTTGCTTTAGAGCTGCCAGTGCTCACTGAGGCCTGCCCCTGCCTGTTTGTAACATTCTTGGATCCTAGGCTGGAAGTCTTCCCCTTTGCATGTTCTGCACATTATTGGTCAGCAAGTAGCTGGGTTAGGGAGAGCAATTTGCAGATAGTAGGAAGGCTTCTGTAGGAGACCCAGTATTAGGATGAAGGGCCTGAAAGGAAATTCTCCACACCAACTAGCTGTAAAATCTAGCTGGAGACACCTGCTGTATGAGCAGAGCAAGTAACCTTATGTGGAAGAGGCCGTAGGAGAAGCCAGAGAGCAGAACCTTATTTATCTGTTTTGCGTTTGACCCACTATAAGCCCGTTATTGGTTGTTATGTGTGGGGTACTACACGAAAGAGCCACCATATATTGTTGCAAGGCATCCACCTCTAGCAACGAGTAGTTTGCATGCCACTTATTTAATTTTACTGCCTGCCACTGTAAGATATTTATAAATAAATCTTACTGTAAAAAAAAAGTACTAAACCAGACTCTCGATTTCCTGGAGAGAGATGATGTGAAGAACTGACAAGACAATGGTTGATGCATACATAACTATCATAGACCCTCAGAGAGCCCATACGCAATGATAAGCAAGCAAAGGGATTCTGTTTCAGGTACAACTTTAGTAACCACAGGTGTATGCCTAAGCTAATGAAGGTGAGTTCAAAAACTTGTACAAAGAGAGCAGGGCAAAAGGGTATGTGTTACAAACCAAAACTAGACCTTAAAGGAGCATTAATCCAATGGTCTACGCCAGTGGCAGGAAACTGAGGCCCACAGGCCGCAGTAGGCCCATCAAGGTAATTCACTGGTATACCAAGAGACATTTTGTTTACATTGACCGTCCATGGGCATGGCCCACTGCAGATCCCAGGGGATGCAGTTTGCCATGCCCAGCCAACGGGAGCCGTGAGGAATGGTGGCCAACATGTCCCTTTGGCTGACACTTCCCACAGCTCTCACTGACTAATAACAGTGAACCACAGCAACTGGGAGCTGCAGGAGGGAATGCCTGCAGATGGTCAATGACAACAAAACGTGTGTCAGCCCACCAGCAAATTATCCAGATGGGCTGCAGATTGCCCACCTCTGGTCTAAGCAATGCCCAAGTCAGCCCAAAACAAAAAAGTGGAGTAACACTCAGACTGCCAACTGGGATAATTCCTCTGGTGTATTATACAGACACCAATTTTCCAGTCAACATTACAACCTCCATATCTTCAACTAAGAGCTCAAAATAACACCAAAAGTAAAAAGCAATTCTATATGCAGAGAAAGAAATGCTCAGCATGCTGAACACTAACAAAGAACTTCTACTTGAACTCTCAGACCATACAATATATTGCAAAGAGGACTATTCTACTGCCCTACAAATCATGTCTACTGATGTTTCTTGTCTTAGTACAAGAATCAGCTATGGTTTCAATGGGATTTGCCAATTCGGATCAAGTTACCATCTGCCAATAAGATTTAGTGAGACACTAAATGTACACCTGGCTAAGGCATCTACAGTAACTTTAGGTATCTTTCTTTTTGACTCTAGCATAAAGAATAAAATCTGATAGTCCATAACTTTTACATTTGGATGGGGATTTAATGCTTTCCTGTTACCAAGGAAATGGCATCTCCAGTAGAGATGAAATTCTATGAGGCTCAGTGTCCAGTACTGAAATAATGAATTCTTTCACAAAACACAGAGTTTGTGAACTGCCTGTGATCTTATTCTGTCTAACTCAGGGGCAAATGGGAAATGCTTGAAGGCCAGGCATTTTTAAAACCAGGACACAATACTGAAGAGAGAATGTGGCTTGACGTAATCTCCAATAACAATTTCAAGACAAGAGATCTCCATGTAAATTGCTGGAGCAGCCAGAGGCTAAACTGGGCAAAGTAAAACACACCTTTCCCCTTTTTGACAGGCAGATGTGGTACACTAACTAAAAATCCACAAATTTAGACAATGCACTGGCTGCTGTAGTTAAACCCATAAAACTACTGCAAGTGAGTGGAGATTGGGAAGAACAGAGAGATAAAGTACCAAAATGAACTTCTGTATTGCTGCCAATCTCTGGATGGAAGAGGGCAGTTCAATTCTTGGCCCCACATAACTTTACCTGTGGATGTTGGGAATACTCGCAAGGTTCATGATACCATAGCTCATCATCACCAATACAAAAATATGGACTGAGTACCTTGAAAACAAAAAGATATATATTTAGATTGTCTCAGAGTGAGACTTCAGGGCTGATGGGAAAAAAATCCCCCCTCCTTTTTTTGGATATGTAAGTTAACTAACTTAACATGGACCCACCCCATAATGCAGTTTCAAATACAAGTCCTGTCAAACCGTGTGGATCTAAAATGTTTTTTTAAAAATAACCAAATGTAATAGTCAAGAATGGATGCATCTCCTTTAAAGAAGGTACCATAATCCAAGAAGGCATAAAAATATGTCTCTGATGCCTGCCAGTAAACTTGCCGTAGACGAATAAAACATATATCTACAGGAGAGACAAGGTGCATGAAATAATATCTTTTATTGGACTAACAGCCATTGGTGAGAGAAACTTTCAAGCTACATAGAACGCTTTTCATTTTGTCACTCTCACCAACAGAAATTGGATCTAAAAAGGTATTACCCCACCCATGTGGCTACAATAACACTGCAAACATACAACTACAAGTCATTTCAGTTTGTTCTGGGGCTTTGGTGGTGTGGTTCAATGGTGGTTGTTTTGCAACACTGCAATACAAGATGTCTCAGGAGTGAACACAAATAATCTAGGAAAATTGACATGAAACAAAACATAACTGCTAGCATGATTTGTTAATCTGAAAATTAAATACTCACCATCCAAAGCAGAAAACAGCAAAGTATATTCCAAAGAGAGTGGCAAAAACATGACGAACAATGGAACTGACCTTGCTGGGACTCAAATAAATGCGAAACCAAAAAGCAGCCAACAAGGCAAACAGCTGACAGGCTACAAAATTGACCTAAAACAAAAACAAACAAAAAGAAATTTGGAATGTTATCTGGCCATTCATTGTTGGAGCTTCCATTTGTAATTCTGGAAAAAGTTATACAGAATTTTTCAGCTATGACAAGAAACAAGATTAGATCCAAGAGGAAAAGAGTTGACCTTGTTTCATGGGCAAAGCTCCCAATAAGCACCCTTTGAAATATGAGCTTTGCTTGACTAAAAACAAAAGGATTAAAACCTCTGGGCCAGAGTGCGGGTCATTTAACAGTGCCATCCAGCAGTAATGGGAATCCCTACATGGCTGTTTTTTACCCTTCCACACAGATGGACAGAGGTGAAAGTGTGTAGAATCTTGGTTCTGCCCACCATTTACCATAATGCACCAGCTTCCTTGAGGCCTCCCTTCCCCATGCTTTACCAAGCAGCAGAGGCTGAAAACAATGCTAAGAAGCTCTGTTAATCAGAACAGAAATTAACCATGGGAATGGAATCTGCCACCCTCAAAAGCAGGCCTGGGCAAAATGCGAGCCGCAGGCCGGATCCAGCCCACCAAGCCACCGGATCCAGCTTGCCTCACCCCCCACCCGCTGCTCAGAAACACAGCTGCGGGGTGGGTTTTCTTTAAAAACTGAGAGTCCGGAGGGGGGAGAGTCGTTCCCACCCACAGAACAATCCCATTGGCTGGTTTTTGGCCAGAAACCAGCCAATGGGAGCTGGCTGTTTCAATAACAGATCGCCAGGAAGCAGAAAGGGTTCCAGAGCACAATGCTACAGCCTGTGTGGGGGACAGGGCAGGCAGCAGTGTTCCCTCAAGCTGAGGGGTGGCACAGCTTCACAGGTGATTAATCAGCCCCACCCAGTCAGAAGCTCAGGGCTCCATGCATGGAGCTGGCTGACTAGGCGGGGCTGATTAATCACCTGTGAAGCTGTGCTGCCCTGCAGCTAACAGGCTGCTGGCTGGTAAGACTCCTGGCCAGCCCCTGCCTCTGGCATCCCAGCCCCACCCATCCCCAACCCTCTGCCCCACTCCCCATACCCAAATCCTCTATCCCTCTCCTGCACCTATATCCCCTCCCAGATCTGGCATTCCGGTCTCCTGCCCCAGATCACAATTCCTAAATCCCTGCACCCCCTCATGTACCCCAATTCCCTGCTCCAGGTCACAATCCAACCTCCTGTACTTCAGTCCAGTGCCCCAGGTCACAACTACCTCTTTCACCCACACTCCCTCCCTTACCCCAGGCTCCCTTCTGCACCCAACCTCCATCCCAGACCCTGCACCTCCTCCATTAATATCACAGACGAGTGCAGCTCTCGACCACTTTCCAAAGTCTTGGAGTAGCCCTCCATCAAAAATTATTGCCCACCCCTGCTCAAGAGTGGGGCTAGTGTGTGCAGGAGGCATAGCCCACGAGTGGAATTCACTCCCAGGAGAGCTCAGAATAGCCATAAGCCACAACGCATTCAAAATGAAATATAAAACCTTCTTTCACTGCCCTTCCACTCATAGCCCCACAAAAGCTATAGCTTTAAAAAAATCAAACTCTTTTGTTCTTTCTAAAGAATGTGTAAGGTGCACAGCCTCATCAGTGATGCACAGGATATAAGAACCAAGACTGATACGCTTAGATTTATTGCATTTTGCTGCAGTGCTTTTTTTTTTTTTTTTTTTGCTTTTTTTTTTAACATTCACCTCGAGCTCTTTGACAACATACTAAGCTGTGAATCTGGACCAAGTTAGGATCTCTCATTTGAATTAAGGTTGCCTGAGTACTGTTAAAGTCTGACTTATTTTCACTTATTAAATAAACAGTGAGCAGACCCTGGGTTTGTTAACCTAAGGCTTGAGAACCTACACTCGTTTGTAACTCCAGGTTAAGAGCGGATGAACCCTGGGACCCAAACTGGGGCTCCAAAATCTGTAACTCATTATACATACCCAAGTCCAATTACCCACATCCCAGACTTCCTAGCATACTCCAAAATGTGGCCACCATAGAGGTCTTTTGTCCATGGTACAGTATGGAAAATCCTGACCATCCAGAGAACAAAATTGGCCTGTGTTGTTGTGAAATACTTTTAGCAGACTCCCAGCCTCTGAGGCCAATGGGGTTGCATCTACTTGGCAAAGTCAAGGCTTGAGTCAGGCTCAGACAATCCATCTCAATGGGCTCCTGAGATCTTTGTCCAAGCCCAAAGCTAGCAGTATTTGTAAACAAAAGGGGGTTAGGCCTCCGTTTGAATCCTGGGTTTATACCTCAGTATAGATATACCCTAGATCAGAGCTACTCAACATGCAGCACGCGGCCCATTTGTTTAAGGCCCGCCGGGTGGTTTGGGTTTACAGTGCAGTTTGAGTTGATACGTTTTAGTAGTTACATTCCGGGACTGTTGTGAAGCCAAAACAAAAAAGTAGTCAATACAATGGTCTTCTGTGGATATGCATTTTAGTAGCTAAATTCCTAGACAGTCATTGCTCATTAAAAGTGCTGTCATATGGGCAGAAATGGGGTAAATATCGCATTTTATTAATATCAGCAGAATTGACTTAAATGGGGCCTGCGTGTTGTGTAGTCTTGCCTTAATATTTGTATTCATGCCCGCCAGTGTGAAAAAAGCTATTTGCATATATATTTTCATGTATACGCAACCACACTTAAGTTGCAGCCCTTGGCATGTGCTGAGAATATCATTGTGGCCACCAGTGCTTCCAAAGTTGAGTAGCTCTGCCCTAGATCATATTCACATTCAGCATGGTCCTGTTAGAGTGAATGCTTTCTGGAAATATTTGGTGGTTCAACTGTTAATCAAAAGTATTTCAGTACTGATAAAATGGATATTGCTGCAGATCTAAAGTTCAAAATGTGTAGGATTTTAGATTGCGAGCTCTGTGGGACCAAGACTCTATTTGTATCTTGTGCAACTTAATAATATACAGGGAGTCCCCGGGTTACATGGATCCGACTTACATCGGATCCCTACTTACAAACTGGGTGAGGCAACCCCGCACTAGCTGCTTCCCCCCAGCAGACCAGGGAGACACGAAGCTAGTGCCCCCCGCAGCAGACCAGGGAGACGTGGAGCGGCTTTTCTCAGCAGACACCTCAGCTTGAGAATAAAGGACTGAGGGAAGGGAGGTGTGGGAGAATAAAACTGAGCTCTGGAGAAATGTTTGGCTAGAGTTTCCCCTACAATATGTACCAGTTCCGACTTACATACAAATTCAACTTAAGAACAAACCTACAGTCCCTATCTTGTACGTAACCCGGGGACTGCCTGTAGTCAGTATTTAAACAATAAAAGACATCATATGATTATGCCTGAGGAGTAAATAGCCTTCTTCCACCATGGGCAATACTTTAAGCCAGTCTGAATAAGGGAATTACTCCTCCTATATATATATCAAGCATTAAAAAAAAAGCATCTCAGAAGAAGCCATTTGCAGTGCACAACAAGATGACATACCCAGGAACAATTGTACAAATTCTTGAGCACAGGCTGCTGGCACACTATCTAGAACAGATTGCTTACATTTAGAGTACCCTTGAGAAATAGTCATGCTTAGCTCAGTGGGGTACTCCAGTGGGATTTGACAGGAGAGGAGGACATTTTCAAATTGGCAGTACAGGCAGTCCCCGGGTTACATACAAGATAGGGACTATAGGTTTGTTCTTAAGTTGAATTTGTATGTAAGTCGGAACTGGCTCCAGATTCAGCCGCTGCTGCTGAAACTGACCAGGGGCTGACTACAGGAAGCTGGAGGCAGAATTGCTCTGCCCCCAGCTTCCTGGAATCAGCTATTGATCAGTTTAAACAGCGGCTGAATCTCGAGCCTGGGACAGAACAGCTGGGCTGGCGGGGGAGGGCCC